AAGTGGCAATGAAGTTGTCGATGAAAGCTTGCTTGAGTTCTTGCCAGGAATCAAAGTAGTTTGCCGGCAAGCTGACCAGCCACTGGTGACCTGCATGACCAACAACTACTATAAAGTAGTTAGACATGACGTGCTCGTCAGCCATGGCTGATCTGCACGCGGTTTCGTAGAGCATGACCCATAATTCGGGGTTCTCCTTGCCGTCATACTTCTGAAGTTTTTCGAGCTTGAAGTTCTTGGGCCATATGACTTGGCGAAGGTGCGGAGTAAACTGCTTCAAACCCGGGGGGCCATGGGTAGTATCATATTCCATACGGCGATAGCTTTCGTGGGATGCACGATCGTTGGCTCTCTGGTTGATGCGGTCACGCAGATCACGTCCTCCGAGGTAGTGGTGGAGATCGTTATTGCCATCGCGGCGATCTCGGTTGCCATCCAGATTAGCCCTGCGACCGTGGTTGTCGCGGCGATTGTCGTCTCGGACGTTGTGGCGATTGTCCTGTCGACGGCGGTTGTCATCTCGATCGCCATCATGGCCACCGTTTCCGCCTTGACGGTTGTCTGATGGGTCATTGTTGCACGAGCCACGTAGGTTGGGTGGCTATGAACGGCTTGAGTACTGGTGGCTGTGGCTTGACTCGACTGAGACAGAGGGAGCCCATGCTTGATTTACAATCTCTGTGGTCTGGGCCATAGCAGCCGTCAGATAGGCTTGTATTTCATCGCGAACTGCCTGAGTTTCTGGGGTATTGGGTAGCCGTTGCATTGTCGCCATAGCGACGGCTACGTTGGCGCTTGGGGTCCTGAAGACCTGTTTGTCCCCCACCCTGTCGAAAGCATTATTGAGGTCGCGTGGCTGGACCCTTATGTGTCGTGCCTCCTCTTCCGCTTCAGCCTTGATTTGTCGGCGATTAAACCGGTCAATATTACGTGCTTCGCGTGCAATCCTTTCCTGTTCTGTTTCGCCGACTGCTGGTGGTTCATCATTACTGACAACATTGATCAAATCCCCTCGTCTTGGTGGGAAGGACGGGAATTGTGGGAACCCTGGGGCGTGGTCTAGGATATCCAGATCATATTCGACGCCTTCATCATCATGACGCTGGAGCTCAGTGTGGTTGGAGGCATTGGATGCGATGCCAGACGAGGAGCTGGAGTCACCCTCTTAGACTGTGTGGACGGATCCTTCTTGATAATCCTCAATCCGGACCATGTTGACGAAATTTCGCGGCTTCGACTGAGGTCGACACAGATCCAAGCGGCGTTGTATATTATACGCGTAGTTGGAGGCAGCGTTTCATAGGCCGTAGGGCTGGGCCTAGTAGTTCTCCGTCAAGGCTTCGTACTCAGAGAGCTGGAGACCCGTTGCGGAGGCTGGCCGGCGACGAGCGGAGCGCCCTTTAGGAGTAGATATGACCACGAGATCTGTACCAAGTCGTGCAGGATGACTAGCCCGAGCCGGTCGGGTAGATCTGTTGTGGGAAGCGGTTACCTGCTCATTAGGTCCACTTTGAATTGAACTTACCAGAGCTAGGGTTTCAGCGAGCTTGGTGCCGACCCGATCGATGGAGTCGAGCAGGTCGGTGTTGTCGATCAGCCTCCCTTTGTAGCGGGGAAGCGAACGATGGATTGTCGGTGTGGCTGAAAGCGATGCGGGCGTGGTCGGAGCCAGATCCACCGTGGTCGGAGCCAGATCCACCGTGGTCGAAGCCAGATCCTTTGTGGTCGGAGCCGTATCCACCGTGGTCGGAGCCGTAGCCGATGCAGGTGAAGCAGCGGTAGACGCAGATTGAATCCGCGCCTCCTCCGTGATCGTGGCGATGAAGTCGTCATAGCCGGTGGTCCAGGTGATCTGACCGATGGTGAACGTGAGGCCGTTCGGCGTAGCCATGAAGCCGGGGATGATGACCATCTTGTTCGCTTGGAGAGCAGTACGCACACCCCTACCTGGCACGCCACTGTCGATGAAATATGGTCGGTAGTCTACCCAGGGGTATGCCCAAGGTAGTAGATTGTCGGCAGACAGATGCGCAAGCCACAAACAAGATGGTGACACAAGACACACGAGGTTTTATCCAGGTTCGGCTGCCAAGAAGGCGTAATACCTACGTCCTGCGTCTGATTGTATTGCTGTATGTCAATGAGAGATGTTTTTTAGAGGGGTCCTCTACCCGCCTTATATAGTCCGAGGGGCAGGATTACAGATCTGGAAACTAATCCTAGTCAGTTACAATTGCCATAGGTGACCGGATAAGGATTCCTATTCTAACCGACCGAGATCTTGCTTGATTGCCAAATCTATCTTGACTCCTTGCGCGGGACTCCGAACAGGTTGGCCGGGCCGCGCGTCGTCTTTTGGTGGACCGGACCCACTGATCCGGGCCGGCCCAATCTTAGCCGTAAGGGTATAGGGGTTAATACCCCCACAATCTTGATCACGAATAGTGTGCGGTTAAGGCATGTTTTGTCTTGAATAGATCTGTTGGCTAACGAAAACCATTTCATGGCCCGTTATCATGGCCTGTGTGATTCTGCCTCACACCCCACTATTAGCACCGTGGAGTGGGGATCATTACTTGGTAGATTTGTTCCTGATAGGGCATGACCTTAACTGTGCGCTATGCCCGAATCGGCTGTTTTAGTCGATATCGAGTGCTTTCACGAACAGTTCACGTCACGAGACCATTGAAGTAAAGATAGGTTGAAAGATGTGTTAGTCCCATGATCTTATTATTGTATTACGGCCTGCATGATTCTGCCTCATGCCCCACTGATATTAGTAATAAGTTAGGGTAGTCGAATCTATTGTTGTTTCTACGGCCTGCATGATTCTGCCTCATGCCCCACTGGTCATAGCGATAGATGAGATCTAATATGTTCATTAGATTTATCTTTATTAAATGGTTAAATGATGATGAGCTGTTTCTTTTATATAAAAAGAGATTTGGTTACTTGCAGTCATTGGCTTAGCATAAATTAATCATTGTTGACGTCCTTTTGCCATTGACTAATGTTTGTCTAAATAACGAGATCTATCCTGAGCGATAACCGATTTATGTTCCATAATTCCATGAGCTTTAATTGATTTATTCTTATGAGTATGCTAGAATCGACTATTTTCTTCCATATCGGTTCTCAGAGCCGCACATTCGGGACTGTCCGGCAACATCGGCATGTTCCGCCTTAAATTACTGATTAACTTTCTCTCCTTGTCAATTGCAGGGTCAAATTGACTAGCACGTCTTGGGAGAAGTGCGCAGGATCGACCATCCCTGCGCTGAAGCTAGGCGGATCTCCAGCTCCATCGAGCGGACCCTTCCGGCTTGCTCGTTGCCCTCGGCATGGGACGAAATTTCGTGCCGACAATAACTGTTATACTTTCTTGACCGTGTTATCTTAGACCTAGATATACGTCGTAGATCTACCTTCCACACTAGAAGTGTGTGTGGTGTGTGGGAGTCTCGAAGGTTGAGGTAATAAAAAACCTCGATGCCTCCTTTTCTTACTGGAGGCCCACCCGACTACCTGAGCGATGGAACGCCGACAAACTCGATTGGATGAGATTAATATTGATATCATCATCAATGACTTTGTATCGAGAAATGTTGGATTAGTAGATTGATACTGATACCATCATTAATGACTCACGTCAAAGAGTGTCGTCGGAAGAATTTTTTAAGATAATTTAATAATATGGATGAATTGTTTCTTATGAATACTACTTTTGCATATTCAGTTAAGTGTTTATTAGTAAAATTTCATATCGTGCATGTGTATAAGGGCCTCGAGTTTTGGGCCCTGTTAGTTTCGCTGAAATTTGGCTGCTACTGCTGCTGCTGATTTGTTGTGAGAGAAAAACACTGTTCCTTCACTGAAAAGTACTGCTGAAGAATAGGGCGCGGTTTTGCCTCGGGCCGCAAAAAATGGGGCTGGCCCTGACAGCTGCCCATCCGTGCTCTGGGTCACCATTACCACTTTTCGCTCCATTCGTGCTGGCCCTACTCATCCCGAGCCACCGTCACCCTCTACTCCACCTCCATGGCCTTCCCAGCCCATCCTATCCTTCGGTAAGTGAGCATACCCAACTTTCAAATCTTAGGTCCGCCACTGCAGAGCACGGATGGGCATGCGTCGATACGAAAGAGGAGCGGAGTAGCGGATCAAGAAAGAAAGGACCAAAGGGGAGCGAGACAAAGAGACAAGCTTGAGTTCCTTGTATTTTGTTCGAATCTGATTTGAAGATAGGTGGTAGCTCTTCTCTTCCACCTAAGCAAAATACTGAGTTGAAGATAGGTGTCATCTCTTCCCTTCCCTGCTATTCGGGAAAAAATTGTATGCATACCGTATGCACTGGCCTCTCCTGCATATATGTTTTAGATGAATGTCATATGTCCTCACCTCATGATCCAACAACACGCATCAAACTGCCTTCCCTGGTTCTATATGGACCGAGTCAATCACGGATCCATGCAAGAAGAAGACCATAAACGTTTGATTATTTTATTTGTACACACATATTAGAGTGGTATGCACCAAAGCCATGTTCATACTGTATACACCTATTTTTTTTTTCTGATTTTCTGTGAACCAGCTGATCTGTAACAGTTGGAGGTGCCCTAAGAGGTGCGGGATGCTGGTTTTTCATGAGGCGTCTAATTGAATAGACTAAGCCATTTCTTTTGTGATCGCTGTCGATGTAATTCAGCGGTTGGCTGTGTGGAGCGTTCCCATGGAACGTAACAGATCAAAAATTGCCGCAGTATAAAACAACATGCCACAATGTAAAGTGATGAACGCGAGTGGACAAGACAAAGAATGCCTCAATGTTCCGACCATGTATTAAAACTTGACGGAAGGCAAAGATTGTGGACAACGGTTGCAGGATGCAAAGCAAAGATAGCTCCAGCCCTCTCAAGAACTAAACAGGGAGATCTACCGGTTTTTATCAGCCAGCCCATACAAGACGACGACGTGTGGCGGCAGATCATCTGGTCAGCTGATCAAGAGCACCGCTCATCCTTCCCTTGCCGTTCCTGCGGTGCCGCCCCCACACTGCACGGCCGCGCGCGGGCCTCCGGGTGGATGAGGAGCTTGAACCTGCCGTCCTCCTTGCATGGCTGCAGCGGCAGCTCCTGCGACGGCAGGCGCATCTCCCGCAGCACGAGGCGTCCACCCTCGCGGTGCGCCCGCAGGCGGAGCCACGGCCGCCCGCCCTTGCCGATCACGGAGATCGGCGGCGGGAACGCCCGGCCGCTCCTCGTCCGCCTCAGCATGATCACGTCCTGCTGGTAGTAGTGGTCGTCGCTGCTGCTGCCGCAGCCGGCGTCGTCGAGCTGCTGCTGCTGCCTCCTAGAAGCAGGCAGGGGGGCCGTCGCCGGCCATAGTGCGCAGTGAACGGCCGCTCCGGCGACGGCGTCGTCCGCCATGTGGAGGTGGCGGCGCGGCGTCGTCGTCGGAGCCGAAGCTCTCGGTGCTGAGCGCTTCGGTGAGGTGGTCGAGGAGCAGGGGAAGGGGAGGGGCAGGGCGGGGGCGAAGGCGGGGCGCGGAGAGGGATAAGTAGCGGCGGAGGTGGAGCGGTGGGGGCGCCATGGGGGATGTCGGACGGTCGGACGGGCGTCGAGCGCGGGGGGTACGTTACGTGGATGCATGCGCGGTTATTGCGGGGCGGGCGTCGTCGGCGTCGGGTACGTGGGCCAACGGCGTGCATTCGAGACAGAAGCCGGAGAGGGGGAGCAGGGCCCTCCTTCTCGTGGTTGACCGACAAATGAAGTATGAGCTACGTCTTGGCAGTTTCAGACTTTCAGGGTCGTCAGTATGAGCTACGTCGAGAAAAAGAAAGGGAAGGAAAATCACGGAGTGTGCGTTGCCAAACCGAACATGTTTTTTTTTTAATTGCCTCAACCTTCGATTACAACGGAACATGTTTTGGTGACCCACCAACGCCAGTCACCGCCTTATGAGTTCGTAGGTCGCAAGTCAGAGCTAAATGGGCCAGCTCAAACAGTCTGAATCCTCTTTGCCGTCACAACGAAAAAGCCCACCGTTTGTCATGGTTCCATTCCCACGGTCATTCACTAGTTTCTGTTTCTGAACGATCTAACCAAACCAGCGCCCCACGCTTTCACCATACGCCGTGCTACTGCGGCTGCATTGCCTGGCGTGGATTGGACGTAAACAAAAGAAACTGTAACCACCATGCATGCATGCACGCATGTCTCTTTAGACTACTACTAATTGCAGGTGCGTCAATTTTTTTTATTTTTTATTTTTTCTTTTACCTTTTTATTTTTTATACAAGTTATTTTGTACGCAGTTTCGTATTTCTGCTAATATATTATAATATTAATTTATACGTCTAAGTTATTGAATATAACTTATACGTCCAACTTTACATTCATCAAGTTATATATCTAAGTTATACAGGCAAGTTATACACGTAACTTTCTTTTTTTTTTGAAAATTATTAAGTTATATACATTACTTTTATGCATAAATTATTACCACAGGTGTCGCATTTTCTTGGTTACGTCAGGTGTCACAGCAGCCAAAAGAGAATCACACTGTTCCGTGGTTGAGACCAGCGTGTCCACGCGCGCCAGCACCAACCAAATATGTGGAAGGGGTGGAATTATTTTTTTCCAAAAAAAGAAGCAGCAGCATGTCGGAATTTTGTTCGCCTGGTTCTATTCCAATGAACGTTCGCTAGTTAGTCTCCCTGGCTACGTTCTGGGTTGGAAATTGGAATTACTGTGGCCTTGTTTGATGCGTATTTATCTCAATTCACATGTGCTGAAGTGGATTAGAGTGAAATTAAACTAAATTCCATTCCATTCCACTTTAAAACATATGGATTAAAGTGAATACACATGCATCCAAACAAAACCTACTGAACAGCCAAAAATTGCTACCACGCTCTGGCCCAACGAGGGTCATTCCTTTTTTTTAAGGAAAAAAGCTAAATGCATGGTGGGTATATAAACTTTTTCCATAGTTTCATCTATGATTGGATCTAAAATGAACTATGAGTGAATCACTTGAAATGTTAAAGGACTCAAGGTGATCACTTTAAGATATCATGGATCTAGATAAGAATGAGGGAGAAATATAAGACTTACGGTATATTTTTCTTGAAAAAAATCACCTTTACCTTTCTGAATTATTGATGCAATCTAATTTCACTGCTGAAAGCTCTAGTTTGGTTTTGATGAATTGATGAAACCTTAAGTGCTAACCCGTTGCTCTAAGTGATCATGAGATAGGGTAGTACATTTCAAGTGGTGGAGCAAATGGATGAAGATCATAATGGTGGTGATGGCCATGGTGATGATCAAGTACTACAAATAAGAAAGAGAAAAATAAAAAACTCAAGGCAAAGGTATATCCATATGAGCTTTTGTGTTTTGTTGGGATAGATATCCATACTATTAAGAGGGGTAAAATTCGTATCGAAATACGGTTATCAAAGTGCCACTAGATGTTCTAATTCATTACATATGCATTCAGATTCTAGTGAGTGCCAACACCCTTGAAAATGTTTTTAAAAATATGCTAATACACGTGCACAAGGTGATACACTTAGTGGTTAGCACATTTGATCAAGGGTGGCGAAGTTGGAGAAGTGGAGGAACTGTTTTCCTTCGATCGGACGTTGCACCGGACGCTGGCTGTGCGTCCGGTCAGTGTAACAGAGGCGGCGTGGCTTAGGGTTTTGCACCGGACTCTAGTGGAGTCTAGGACAGGATGCGCAGGGGGTGCGCTCGGTCACCTGTGACGTACACTGACGTATCGCTCGGAGTTGAGCCAGAGAGGACCGGACTCAGGGTCGCGTCCGGTCATGCGCGAGCGGAAGCGTCCGGTCATGAAAAATCCTCTCTAAATGCTTACTGGACTCGACCGGACTCCACGTTGTGGAGCGTCCGGTCACTTGACTGGTGCGTCAGGTCACAAGCGCAGTGGCTCGGTTGTAGGCGCGATCGGACGCTGCGATGGCGCGCCCGGTCGTCACTTAACCGTTGGCGTGACTGAGTTGACCGTTGGGATCGAACGCGCGACGTTGAACGCGGAGGCACGTGGCCTCCATCCAATGACCGGATGTTGGCTGGGCTGTGTTCGGTCATCCCGACCGGCGCGTCCGGCCAGCGCGAGTTGGGCTGTGTGTTGAGCCCAACGGCTTTATTTCATGGGAGCTTCTATTTGAGCCCCATGGACGGCTCTTGCTCACCCTCTTGGCATTTTTCATTGACATAGCAACCTAGTGAGCTAAGCTAAAGTCCTCCCACTCATCTCCATCATAGATTCATCATCTTTGTGAGATTGGGAGTGAATCCAAGTGCATTGATTGAGTGATTGCATCTAGAGGCACTTGGTGATTGTGTTTCGCTGTGGATTTCGCTTGTTTCTCTTTGTGGTTGCTGCCACCTAGATGGCTTGATGCAGCGAGGATCGTCGAGCGGAGGAAGGTGATTGTCTCCGGCTCTGATCGTGGTGATTGTGAGGGGTTCTTGACCTTTTTCCGGCGGAGAGCCAAAATGTACTCTAGTGGATTGCTCGTGGCTTATGGATCCTCATCTTGTGTTGGTTGTGCGGCACCCGATTGAGGGTTAGGCGTGTGATGCCTATTAGCGTGTGAACCTCCAAGTGAGTGAATCACCACAACGAGGACTAACTTGCTGGCAAGCAAGTGAACCTCGGTGAAAAGTCTTGTGTCATCATTGTCTCCGAGGATTTCATTGGTATTCATTGTGATTGATTGATCATCTCTTGCCACGGTGGTATAACATTCACAACCTCTCTTGTATTTACATTCCTAGTGTAGTTAAGCTCTTTAGTGTAATTAGTTTTGAGAGCTAGCTTGTGTTGTGTCTAGTGGTTAGTGAGGCTCTTTAGTTTGTCTTTGAGAGCTCACTAACTTAGAGAGTAGTGACTTAGCCTCTTGTGTGAATTAGAGATCACAACAACTAGAATTGTGGATAGGAGGCTTTCATTTTTAGTAGGCTAGCACAACACTCGTTTCACCGTTTAATTGTCTAACCTCTTGGCTTAAGTGTTGTTGTAGAAATTTTTAATAGGCTATTCACCCCCTCTAGCCATTAGGAACTTTCAAGTGGTATCGGAGCCATGGTCACCATGATTTGAGGCTGAACAACCTTCAGTGTCAAAATGCCTCAAATCAACAACACCAAGAAGCCACCATAATTTGATGGCTCAAATTGTCCATACTGGAAGGCAAAATGACCACCTACATCAAGTCCATCAATAGAAAGGCGTGGAAGGTGGTGGAGACCAAATTTGAGGTAGCTGATATGGAGAATCCCACCGCGGCCGAAGAAGTGTTGCTCCAAAACAATGACATTACTCTTAGTGCCATTCATGATGCATTGGATGAGAGGACATTTGAGCAAATAAATTAAGAACATTGAGATAGCTCATGATGCATGGAAGAAGTTGGAGGAATTATTTGAGGGCACTCAAGCGGTGAAGGGCGCCAAAGCTTACATCCTCAAAGAGAAGTTTGCTAGATTCAAGATGAAGGAAGATGAGAGTGTGCCGGAGATATTTCATAGGCTTCAAGCGCTTGTCAATGATCTCAAAGCACTTGAAGAAGAGGTGAAGGATAAGGACTTCTCCCACAAGTTCTTAAGATGCTTACCATCAAGATTTGGTACATTGGTCACTATTCTAGTGAGGAGTGGTTTGGACACCATGACACCAAACCAAGTGTTGGGAGATGTGATGACCGATGACACATATAGAGATGATGAAGAGAAGGAAGAAAAGAACAAGGAGAAGAAAGATGAGAAGAAGGATGAGAAGAAGAAGAGTGTGGCATTCAAAGCCACATCATCCAAGGGCAAGGCAAAGCAAGTAACATCAAGTGAAGATGAATGCTCAAGCTTTGATGAACTTGATGATGAGAAGATGGCCCTCTTTGTGAAGAGATTTGGCAAATTCATGGTGAAGAAGGGCTATTGTGCAAGAAAAAAGAAGTCATCATCCAAGAGCAAGGATGAAGCAAGAAGGTGCTTCAAGTGTGGTAGTAAGGATCATCTTGTTGCCCAATGCCCCTACAATAATGAAAATAAAGACGATGACAAGAAGGGCAAGAAGAAGGACAAGAAAGAGAAGAAGGACAAGAAAGACAAGATGACCTTCAAGAAGAAGAAGAAGGGTGGTTCATATGTGGTCACTTGGGATAGTGATGCTTCCTCAAGTGATGATGATGATAGTGATGATGATAAGACCACCAAGAAGAAGGCTCTTGCAAGCATTGCCATAAATGAGAAGCCTTCTCTCTTCGACACTCCATCAACTTATTTCATGGCTAAGGCCACTAAGGTATATTCTCATGATGATGGATGTGATGATGAACATGATAATAAAAATGAAAGTGATGAGATAATGATGAACCAACTAAACATGAACTAAT